CAGTCCAGATACGAACGACCGGGGACATCTTCAGGAGAACAGTGAGATCAGCCACCAGTGTTCAGCTCTGCTGGGTACAGGATCGGGTGGGCAGGTATTGGAATGGCCGAGGATCAGGGGATAAAGAGGAGGATGTGTCGGGGGTCTTTGTCCCTGACAGTATTCTCAGCTCAGTGGTTGCTGAATCTAATCGGTGATGGCAGCTGCAAAAGATTTTCAGCCATGAGCAGAACAGTTCCCACATAGCGGCCAGAAAAAAACGGAAGAGACTCAGCCCATGAGATGGTGCCCAGGAATTTACACGAGGAGAAAACAAGCACTTGGGTAAAGGTTTGCTTTGATAGAACATCTGAGGAGGAATTCAGCATATCTAAGGTGAACATATGGATGGGACACGTGATTGATTTGAAGTCGTTACTTATAAGCTCAACTGCTGGGCTTGTCCCGCTTATTTTCCTGAGATGTTGCACACTTCAGAGACCCTAATCAGATTTCCCGAGCACACACTGGAATCGTGTGACGACTCTTGTGACATATTCCTTCAGTAAGGCTGAAGATCCTGACTTTCCTCCTCTTCACAGTTGAAGCTGGGTAGGGCCATGGATCTCAGCAGCCACTGGCATCCCACCCATCTCAGTGTTCAGACCATAGACCTGTTGGCATGACACTCCTATCTAGGGCAGCTGGGGCCGAAAGCTTCAGCAAGCAGCACTTGTGTTCTGTCATGGAGAGGAGGTTAGATTTGTGTAAGCAAATAGACGCCCAGTCACCAGCACACACTGTCGTCCCTGCCTGCCGTCTCACCCCCCACTGTCCTCTTCCGTGCTGTCTGAGGTTATTCCAAGCCAAGGCATGAACCTTACCAAAGTTTCCATGTCTGAGATTACCCGGCTAGCTGGTACTGAAGCCTGTTAGCATCATTTAACAGCCCCAGGCCACAGCGTCTTCCCCAGGACCTTTCTCACTAAGTCTGTGTGGGGTTAACCAGCCCTCAGCATCCCTGCTAATGGGAGGGGACGTCTTCAGGAGAACAGCGAGATCCCAAGTTCTTGAAAGTAGTTTGTGAAACCCAAGTGATCATCAGGTATGCCAGTCAGTCTGATACTTTGTTTTTAAAAAATGTGTTAAGATTTAATTTTCAATTTTGTGTGTGTGTGTGTGTGTGTTTTTATGCCCATCATGAGTGCAGGTGCCTGCAAGCCCACAGGGATTGGATCTCCCCTAGGGCTGGACTTACAGGTGTTTTTGAGCCACCCAGCATGAGTGCTGGGAACTGAACTCAGGTCCTCTGCAAAAACAATATACATTCTTAAACTCTGAGCCATCATTCCAGCCTTGATTTATTTTATTTTTAATTATATATATGTGTATGCAACTGTATGTGGATGCGTGTCTGTTTATGTGAGTGTGGGTGCTTGTGGAGGCCAGAAGAGGACATTGGAACTCCTGGACCTGGAGTTATAGGTGGTTGTGAGCAGCCTGAAGTGGGTGTTGGGAACTGAACTCTGGTACTCTAGAGGAGCCTCAAGTGTTAACCACTGAGCCGGCTCCCTGGACCTGATATATTGCTTTTTTTTTTTGGCTTTTTTTTCTTTTGGTCTTTTTGAGACAGGGTCTCCCTGTAGCCCCAGCTGTCCTGGAACTATGTAGACCAGGCTGGTCTTGAACTCACAGAGATCCACCTGCCCCTGCCTCCCAGCCTTCCCAATATATTGCTTTTAATTCCTTCCCAGCAGCCAGTGGATTTACTTTCATAATGTGAGGTGAAGCTAAGAGTGACTTAAAAATTTGTTTTTGATTTTTCTGTGCTTAAGGCTTTTTTTTTTTTCACTGTGTATCTGGAGAATTTTTTTTCCCTTTATTCCCATAGTTCTTTGTATAGCCCTCCTTTCCCCTGTCCCCTTTATCCCTGTTTTACAGATTTCTCCCTTAGTAACACCCTCATCCTACCATTCTCTCGGGTTCCTTCTTATTTTATAAATTGTATGCCTGCATGTATGTGAGTATACCACTTTTTGTTTGAGACAGGGTCTCTCATTGGCCTAGGCCTTCACCCTTCAGCCAGGCTGGCCAGCCAGTGAGCTTCCAGAGATCCATGTCTCCACCTCCAAGCTCACCATTGCTGGGATTGCTCCTGGCCTTTTGTGGGGGTTCTGGGGATCAAATTTAGCTCCTCCCACTTCTGAGGCAAGGAAGTACTTTACCAACTAAGCCATCTCTATGGCCCTATAACACTGATCTTAAAGGCCCCTTCTTTCTACCTTAAAATGAGCATTCTGGGGCTGGAGAGATGGCTTAGTGGTTGGGAACACTGGTTGTGTCAAACCCAGGTTGGAGTCCCAGCACTCACATGGCAGCTAAGAACTGTCCATAACTCCAGTTCCAGGGGATCTGACCACCTCTTCTGTCCTCCGAGAGCACTGAACAACACGAGTGCACTTACCTACAAGCAGGCAATACATGCATACACATAAAATAAAACTGATAAAATATTAAACAAAAAATGAGCATTCTGTTGGCGAGTGCTCCCAGATACTGCTTAGACATTTCATCGTGGGGTTCATCCAGACTTTCTTGGAGACAGTTTCTCAGGCTTTGGGGACATGAATACTATAGAACTACTCTGCCCTATCTTCTTGAGATGATTTCTATCAATTCCTTCTTTCTTGGAATGATTTCCCCAAATGAAAAAGAAACCAACATTTATTCAAAGACTCTGGAATGTTTCAGATTGTGATAATGGTAAAGATGAGTTTATAGTGTTTCCTTCCAATTTTTGCTTGCTTTCATTAAAAAGACAGTTGGAGAGATGGATCACTGGTTAAGAGCACCGGCTGCTCTTTGCAGAGGATACAGGCTCGATTCTCAGCACCTACATGGTGGATCACAACTGTCTATAACTCTAGTTCCAGGGGATCTGATGCCCTCTTCTGACCTCTTGGGTATCAGGCACACAGTATGCACATGTACCTGCAGGCGAACATTCATACCCATAAAATAAAATGAAACATCTTTTAAAAAGAGAAAAGAAAAATGAGTCACTCACCACTTGATATGACTGCCAAGAAGCCAGCCCCTGAGCTGAACTTGTTGCTGACTTTGCTTTTGGTGACAGTGTGGGATTTTCCTGTGTTTTTCTTTTGCAGCAACTGTCGCTCTAGTCTTGCTTTATAATGTGCTTCTTTTTATTTTTGCATGAATTTGTCTATCCTAAATCCCACTGAACATATTTTTCTAACCCATAATCAGTGCTTCTGGGAGGACGGTGGTTTGATTGTCAGATGAGAATGGAGACAGGCCATTAACAAAGATAGCCACAGGGAGAGCGGTTTAAACAATCCCACTAAACAATCCTTGCTCAGGGACCAGAAGAAGAAAGCGCATTTTAAAACATGGTTAAAGTCTACATTGGAGATGTGAGGAATGATACCTCCATATAAAACCCAGAGTGGACAAACACCTGAGTTTATATTTCTTCATACCTTGTGCTCAGTCAAGGAAACAAGCACGCAATCTCTCCTTATCCTTTGCATACAAACCCATCTACAGCTGGGAACAAAAACTGCCACTGATGGTGTGAGATGCTTATCTCACTGGTCCTTGAAGAAAAGCTGAGAGACTGTAGCATTAGCTATATGACACTTCATGTCGATACAGCAGATGAAGAAGGTGACACAGCCATATCTGGGAAGGATGGGGCTCCCCCAGCCTTTGTCCTACCCATCTCTGTACACTCCATTGGCTGGTGTTGTGTTAATGTTTCCTGTTCAGTGTCTCAAGCCATCAATTATTATAATTTTCATAATGCTCTGCTTTGTATAAAGTCCTTTAAAAAATACCTTTGGGAACTGGGGAGATGGCTGTGTGGATAGAGCCCTTGACACACAAGCATGAGGACTTGAATTCAGATCTCCAGCACCCATGTATATGCCGGGTGGATATAGAGGTCCACATGTAACCCAGGGCTCGAAAGGTGGAGGTGGGATTAACTAGACTGGTGAGCTCCTGGTTCAGCAAGAGACCCCTCAGTAAAGAAAGGGGAGCTGGATCAAGGGAGATACCAGCATTGACCTCTGGCAAATACGTGCCATCCTCACATACACAGGAAACAACAGCAAAACCGCAAATAACAGGAACGCACCATCCGGGAGGAGTTGTTGAATTACATTTCCATTTTCTTTCACTCAGAAGCCATGTCTAGCAATAAATAAAACAAAACAGTTTCATGGTTTCCCAGGAAGGCCCAATTCTTGGGGAGAAGATTGTTTCCCCACAAGATTCACAGTCCATTTTTTTGCTTTTCAGATTACTGATTCCCCTGCTCTTTGGCTCCCTAAGAAAAACTAAAGCAAGGTGAGAGGAGAAAATGCAATCTGATAACAAAGCAGGCTTTGTCTTGATAAACACTGTGATTGATGACAACAATGTTAAGTTCTTTTGGGTAAATGAATAACTGATTGTATCTGAGAGTTGCAAACAAACTCCATTCCTTTGTGGCTCTTCCAGGGCCTTTTCCCTTCCCCTTCCTACTCTGCCCTGACTCGTTTGAAACTAATGAAACAAATATCCAGGACAGAGGCAGCTTGTGAGGCTAGAAGCCTGTCCCATGGGACCTCTAAGAGAAAGCGTACAAAAAAACCTTACTTTCACTTTTTGTTTGTTTTTACAAAAACGTATGATCATGTGAACATACCACTCAGTCTCCTTCCAGGCCGGGACAAGCCCATACAAGAGATCCCAGAAGTTTAAACTTGATTGGCTTGGTGGAGAGTCCATTTCTTCAGGTTCTGTGCTGTGGTAAATGCCTACCTGTACTATACACACATATGTTAGCTATTCATATACATGAACACAGGAAATGTAGGAGATGACTCTGCAGAGACTAGATAGGAATATACAAGTATAAATACCAGAGCACAAGAGCACATACTGTGTGTAAGCGTACATACACACGGGGTTCGGGTCTAGTTCTCACTTTTCTGTTTCTGTTGGCCTCAGCTTTTCTCAAGGTCACACCCAGGCACACGGTAGGTATCTTCTTCTCCAGATTTTGAATTGTCTGCCTGCATTTAAACATTCACTTTAGAGAAGAAGTAATCAGTGGAATATATTATCTCCCAATCAGCCAAGCAAACTCAAATACTGTACTCTGCATTGGGCTTGTGTAGAACAGTCCTCTGCTCTAGAAACCACGTGATAGGCGGGGAGGCAGGAATGAGTGGGAAGCCCATTGCCAAGAGGCAGAGCTTGGTCTGTGTGTGCATGTGTGTGTTTCCGGGAAGTTCAGATACTGGTTTGGAGGTCTCCGTTGAGGAGGGTCCTCTGGGTCTCCGTGGTCTCATTCAGCCGGGATTTATCCTGCTTGCTGTCACTCCGTTCCCCATCATCTGTGCCACTCACCTTGACCAAGCAGAGGACGTTCTGGAAGCTCTTCTTGAAGTTGTCAGATAGGAAGGCGTATAGGATAGGGTTGGCACAGCTGTTAGCGTAGGTGAGGACCACCACGAAGTCGAACATGCCTTTCAGGGCTGGGGTGGGATTGATGGCCACAGAGACAGAAGAGACGTTGAAGATGTAGAAGGGAAGCCAGCAGAAAATGAAGACGGCGACCACGATGGACACCATTCGGGTCACCTTTTTCTCTGACTTTTTCCTCTTGGAGGATCCCACTCGGATTCCAGAAGACTTCACCTTGATGATAATGAACAGGTAGCAAAGACAAATGATGGTGAGGGGTACCAGGAACCCCAGGATGAAGGCATAGATAATGAACCCTGTGTACCATGCCCCGGATTCACCTGGCCAGTTGATGGTACAGCTGCTCCTTCCCCACTGGTTGCTCCGAAGACCAGCATATATCATGATGGGCAAAATGACCAGCAGAGAGACTCCCCACACAGCCACATTGATCATCTTGGCTGTCCGGGGTCGCCTCCACTTGGCCGACTTTATGGGGTGGACCACAGCCAGGTAACGGTCAATGCTCATGACCGTCAAGCAGAAAATGCTGGTGAACTGATTGATGCCATCCACGGTCATGACCACCCGGCAGATGGCTTTGCCAAAGGGCCAGTGGACCAGCGCTACCTGCATGGCCAGGAAGGGTAGTCCCAGCATGAAGAGTTCATCTGCGATGGCCAGGTTGAGTATATAAATGTTGGTGATGGTTTTCATCTTGGCATAGCGGAGGATGACGTAAATGACAAGCGTGTTGCCACACAACCCGATGATGCACACCACAAAGTATATGAACGTGAGGACCGCATTGCTTGTCATGTCGTAGTATGGCTCTGTCTGGTTGGAGCTGTTGCCTGGCCCCACCGAGTCACTGATGTCGAATGGAGTGGGCATCCATGTTTGGCTCCCATTGAGTTGCTCTGACACCATCTCCATGGCTGCTTTTCAGCCAGTCTAAAGCCAAGCAGCCCAGAGACCTTACTCTTACCTCAGTGGGCCCTGGAGACCAAGAATCCACTGTGACATCTGCAAGGGAAAAAGCAAGACCAGCCATCAGCCCCAGGCTGTCAAAACTCTTGCTGTATTCCATGTTTCTGGTGTATCTGCTTATTTAGACATCCCCTTCCCCTGCCTCTTTTGTATGTGTTTGTGTGTGTGCAGATGCTTGTGTGTATATGGAGGCCAGAGGACAGTCATGCCTCAAACACCATCTACCTTTTTTTTGAGATAGTATCTCTCACTCATCTGGAACTGGACAAGTAGCCTAACCTGGCTGTCCAGTGAGTCCCAGGGATCCACCTGTGTCTGCCTTTGCAGTGCTAGGATTACAATGCCACCAGGCCCAGCAGTTTTGTACATAGGTTCTGGGGTTTGAACTCAGGTCCTCATGTTTTCAAGGCAAGCACTTTACTGACTGAGCTAGCTCCCCAGTCTCCCCCCTCCCTCCTTCCCGGCCTCCTCTGCCCTTCCTCTCTCTTTCCTTCCTTCCTTTTTATTGAGGCAGACTAGCCTTGAATTCACTACGTAGCCTAGGCTGACCTTGCACTCACAGCAATCCTCCTGCCTCAGTCTCCTGAGCTGGGATTATAGGTGTGAACTACTGTGTTTCTCTTAGCTGTGCTATTCAACTGAAAAACAAGTTCTGTTTTTCCATCTAGTTTCAGCTCCAGCCCATCCCTGTTAGCTGGCAGACTTTTTTGGGTTATTTTTCAATAGTGGGGGAAGAGTTTGGGTTAAGCCATCATCTTTGATGACGCACATGTGGCGGATGGCTGTAGCTTCAAACACATAGGCTTTGTCCCCTAAGGAATTGACTGGTCCACACTATAAAAAGGCAGATCTTGCCGGGCCTGGTGGTGCATGCCTTTAATCCTAGTACTCGGGAGGCAGAGGCTGGTGGATCCCTGTGAGTTCAAGGCCAGCCTGGTCTACACAGTTCCAGGACAGCTGGGGCTACAGGGAGACCCTGTCTCAAAAAGAACCCCCCCCCAAAAAGACAAATCTTCAGAAGAGTTCAGCCCCTGAACTCTGGGGATGGTAGTGGTGGTGAGGGTCCTGATACCAGCATTCTGGGCTCCACAGGGAAATCTACGCCTTCTCACTGCTTACTTGACAGATTTTTCATTCAGAGACCCCAAGTTAGAAAAACCCTAGAATTTAAAGGGAGAATAAACTTGGGCTCCATGACAGCCCCACATGACCTCTCGCCCAACCCTTAACTGCTACAACTCTCCTTTGTTAACATGGGTAG